TTTCAAACATTGCTAGTAGTTCTTCTTAAATCAACAATGGGAAATGAATTTTATCAAATCCTGTTTTTAAAACTATCAAGACGATGTAAGCATTTTTGTCGTTTTCCCCATGAATTTCATGATGTACAGGATTGTTTTATTGGACGCTGTCCTTTTCAGATATCATCCATACTGTCTGCAGGCGTTTCTTTGTGTCAGTGGGATCTGTGTTCAGGAAGGAGACTGATTTTTCTCTCCTGCTATGTTAATGTCAGCTTTTGGTCTCAAGCTATTGTTAGATTCAGAAAAAGAGTTTAAAATGTTTCCTTTTTCTCAATTTCCTGGAAAAAGTTGTCAGCTTGTAATGTTACTTTTTAAGTATTAAAAAAAAATCACTGATGAAATCATTTGGAGTTTGTGAAGAAACTTAATTTTGTGTTGTATCTTAATAACATTTCTGCTAGTTAACAGACACTAGACTACTGAGACTTTCTCATTCTTCTCTCAGCTTGCTAAGTCATGTTTGTGTTAGGACTTTGCCCATTTCTTCTAAATTGCTAACTTTATTCACAGTACCCTCATTGCATTTTAATACCTGAGAATTTGCCATCATGCTCCTTGGTTTATTTCGTATATGAATTATATGTTTTTCTCCTCTTCTTCTTCAGCACCCTTGATAGGAGTTTATCAAATGTGCGTATGTTTTTGTGTGAAAGAACTCACTTTTGCCATTAAAGATTTTTCTTTAATACGTTTGTTTTCTATGTTACTGGTTCTCGGTTCTATCTTATCACCTGCTTCTGAGGTTGGAGACTGGCAGGTCATGTTTTCTGGCCACACCCTTGCCGACCAAAACAAGGTGTAGTCCAGAGAGGATGAAGTGAAGGGCCCAGCAGATGGTGAGAGGGTCACCCGGCTGCTCTCACTGCTCATGAACACGGGACAAGGCCTGCTGCACCATCACAGTTTACAGATGCCATGAAAATGGCCCAGAAGTCACCTCCCCTTTCCCTCCCAGTTACCTGGAAGTTACCACCCCTTTCCTAGAAAGTTCTAAATAAAACACTCCTTAATGCCACCCTCACTGCTGAATATATGTCACCCTGGACACGGGCACACCAGTGTGGGGTTGGACATATGGCAGTCACAGGTCTTAGCCCTGGTCACGTGGACATGGATCCAGTGGACATGGATCTCACCTTTGCAGCCGAATGTCTCTTGTGTGCTAATCCACATATTTGCCAAAACTATAATGGTTCACTCTCTAATTTCTGTAACAGCCTCAGGGTAGAGCAGTGGGACAATTTCCTACTCTGAGTGACTGGTTCCCCGTGCCCACCAGATGGCTCAGTCCACCAGGACCTCGTCCAGTCCAGAGGAAGCTGATCCCATTGAAGACAGCAGACAGCCTGCCAGAGTACTCCCCCTCCTCCCCTGGATCTCAGAGACCTCCCTGGATCTCCAAGGGTCCCATCCTGCATCCCTTCCTTCTCGCTCTGCAGAGCAGCCTCCATCATCCCTCCACCTTCAGCAGGAGACCCCCAGACACTGCCTGGCCTCTGAGCAGCCACAGCACCCCTGCCTGTTACTGATTTAATCATTCAATCATGTCCTACCTCAAAAAAGCACCTAGGTCTCAGAGAAGGGGCACGTAGCTTCAGTCAGGGATCCATGAATTCCTCAAATTGGTGTTTTATCAAGAAACGTTTTAGTGTGTAGGTGGAACGAGTGCATAATGTTTATGCTTAAAATGCTGAACCGTCTTCTGAAGGGAAGGATAAGATCTGGATTCCTGGTAGAAGTCATTCTCCCCAGACTTTTACTTTGCATGTGGAAGAAAATCACAGGAACCACCAGCGCGTGTAGAGTGATTTGCTGACAGCTAAACTTACGAGTTTAACGGGGAACTTTTTCATAACTTACGCGTCACTTGATCCTCCAAAGCTTCCAGGTTATGAAAAGGGGAAAGATGATGCTTCTACGTTGCAGACGCAACAGCTCAGGGTGAGAAAGGCCAAGCTGCCCGCGCCGGCCCGCGGAGCCTCCGCCCTCAGGACGGCGTTCCGCCTCCCTGTCCCGGAAACGGCCTCCACGGGGCAGGAGTGGAAATCAGCGGCCGGTTGAGGACGGAGAAGCCGGGACGTGTCCCTCCAACCCAGCAGCGAAACGGCCCGTGAAGCCATCACACAGTAGTTCTTCCGAAGCCGCTGCGGAGCCGAGTCCGGGCGGCCGAGCAGCCTGGACGCGCAGAACCACCGGGGCGCAGCGGGGAGCCCGGGCTCGCGTGGAGCATGCGCGGAGGAGGAGGCGCCGCAGGCCCGGCACGCAGAGGCCGGGAGCCGTTTGCGCCGGGAGCGCGTCCCCCACGGGGGCCGCCGGGAGCTCCACTGGCCCTGCGGACTGGCGGGCGGCTCCCAGGATGCTCCCGGGTGCCGGCGCGGCGCCCACTCAGGCCTTTCCCGCCTGCGGGGCCGATGCCTCCCGGTGGGGGCGGCACCCCTGCTGTCCGCAGGGCGCAGGCAGATGGGCTGTGGCGGGAGAGGTGAAGGGGAAGCGCCCGCTCCTGGAGGAGACGCAGGAAACGGCTGCACGCAGACCCCTGAGGGTCCCCTCCATCCCCCACAGGACCCACCGCCCACACGGGCAGCGGGGAGCTGTGGTGGGCGGAGGGGCAGGTCGCCCAGAAAGCCTGGGCTGCGCGTCCCAGCGACGCGGGCTTCTCAGACTGGGGCTGCGTGGAGAACCAAGTCTGCCCACCCTCAACTCGCAGCCCCAGAAGACCACCAGGCAGAGTCGGCTGAGGAGAAAAAGCGCCAGGGCCGCCGGTGGGTGCAGATGCACAGGGAAGGCTGAAGAGGGCGCCACGCAAGGTCACGTAAGGTCACGCTGGAGGCGCCTGAAGCCAGCGCTGCCAGGAAGGGCGCCATGGACGACACAGCTCAAGTCCAGCTCTCCTCTGACCAGACCGACTCAGCACCACACCAAGGCCTGAGGGGAGGGGAGCTGAAGGCCGCACATCATCACATGTGCCTCAGCCCCTGCTGCTCTGGGCACGATGTCTGGCATTCAGAGATGATGACACACACACACACACACACACACACACACACACACACACACACCCCGCTGTCAACAGGCACAATAATCAACAGGACCAGACTCAGAGATGACTTAAATATTGAAACTTGCTGTGAGTTTGTTGTGCCCACTCTCTATGGAGGATGGATTCTCACCCCAAGTTTGGTTCACATGTCGAAACATATACCACAGGAGAGTATTAAAAGGTTTATTTTACCCACATAATGAGGCATTCTGGGGAGATCGGGACAGATCGCCCATGCAGGCCCAAAATTGGCTTGAGAGAGCTGGGACAGTCCTGAGGATTCACGGTGATAGGGGATGGCCCCAGGTGAAGATTCCTGAGCACAGGAAGGGCTCGCGTGGTTTGAACCTCCTGCAAGTGCCTGAGGAGGGAAAACCTGGGCTTTCTTATCAGCTGGCCCAAATGCTAGGCAGAGGGAAAGAAGGAGGGCTGGAGCTCAGAAGCTGTCAACAAACACCAAAAAATGGAGACAGACTCTTTATGACAAAGATACAGATAAATAAAAACTTACAAGTAAATAGTTAAAAAAAAAATAAGTAAATAAACTAATAATTAAATCAATGGATGCATCACTAATATATGCTATAGTGGAAAAGGTGGCAACATGCCTGAATACAGGGGTAATTTCAGCAGAGAGAGAAGTTGTGTGAAAAAGATAAAAAGGAAGTCATATATATGAGAAAACATGGCAAAACGTGAAGTCTTTCTTCAGTGGGATTACTAGTCAACTCTATGGCTGAGGAAGGAAGCCATGCAATTTGATAGGCCAGTAAAATGACCCACAATGGAACACAGAAACATGTAAACAAACACACAAAAAGTATCCAAGAGCCTGAGTGCTATCAAGCACACTAGCACGCATGTGATTGAGGCCCAGAAGTAGGAAAGAAATAGGTCAGAATGAATACTTGAAGATGTGATGACTCAAAGTTTTCTAAAAATTACAAAAGACATTGAACCAGAGATCCAGAAAACTCCAAGAAGCCAAGCCAAGACTTGGCTTCAAGATTCTTTGCTTGGCCAAACTTTAACCAGGCTCCCTTGAGCCTTCTCCCCAACAAGGCCTGTCACGTACTTCCCTGCAGAATCCAGTTTCAACAGGAGTACTGTTTAAGTAGGTTTAGGAGAGAATTCCTTACCCCTGATAGCTGACATCTGATCAAATTCTTCACCTGACTGCCTACCTCTGGTAAGAATCCCATCAGGTCAGTTCAGCCAGAATCATCCCAGATTTGATGTCTCCTCTTGTCAATTTTCCATCCATCCATGTTCCCCAAGCCTCTATTTTGTTTTTTGGCTAAAAATCTCCACTTGTTCTGGTTGTATTTGGAATTGAGCCCAGCTCTATACTGGAGTCCCTCTTTCCCTGTAGTTTTATGAATAAAATCCATCTTTAACTTCTGTCCAGCTCTATTGTTTTGGGGTGCTTTGGGGGAGGGGTTTCTTGGAGACAAGGTCTCACTGTCACCAAGGGTGGAGTACAGTGACACAATCACGGCTCACTGCAACCTCGACCTCTCCAGACTCAGGTGATCCACCCACCTTAGCCTCCCAAGTAGTTGGGATTACAGGCATGCACCACTACACCAAATATTAGAAATGAAAAAGAGACATCACTACAGACCCTGCAAATCTTACCAGGATAATAAGGGGGTGTTATGAACAGTGTTATACTATACATTCAACTAATTAGGAAAAATGGGCCAAATCCTTGAAAGACACAACTAGCAATATTAAAACCCTCTACTTATTTGTGAGTAGAAGATTGCTAACAAAGAAAATTTCATTCCCAGATAACTGCAATGAATTTTAGTAGAATTATTCCCAGATAATTCTACCAAACATTTAAAGAAGAAATTGTTCGGTAGAAAGTCCCGCCATCTTTCCCCCAGGTTTCTTGCCCCCACCCCCCCAGGCTTCCTGCTGCCCTGAGAAAAGCCCGCCAAGCCTGCTCTGTTCTGCCCAGCAACAACAAGCAGCCAATCATTGCAGCAGGAAAGCCCGCCAAGCCTCGGCCTATCCTGAACCGACACGTAACCCTCTGAGCCACCTCAGCAGTCTGCCCAGAGACTGACAGCCTATCCTAAGCTCCTATGACACTCCGCCAGCCCTGTGTCCACGCCCCGTCCACCCCCCTATAAAACTCTCCTACCCCAGCTGTGCAGTCGCAGCCAGCCCCATTCTCCTTCCTTTCCTGGCCTGCCCGCTGGTCCCAATAAACCTGAACTCGGCTTCCAACTCTCGAGCTGTTATTTGGGGTTGGGTACCGGGCAGGGGTCTACAAGGGGGTCGCACATATGGTGCCGAAACCCGGGACGGAGGGTCGCTAGCCCCCCTAGCGACCCCCTCCCTCCAGCGACCTCCCCAGCCCTCCTCCAATTCGGCCTCAGCACTCCGGACCAGGTAAGTCCTGTTTCTTACCTTCTCCTTCCATGGTGCGTGTGGCAAAGGCCCTTCCTCTCAGTCCCAATCCACGGATCCCTCGCCAAGTGCCGGCCGGCCCGAGCAGGATCCCCCAACCAGGCTCCAGGAGCCTTGGGTCGGCAGACAAGGGACGCCTTCTCTGACCCACCCAATCTAAATCCATTAAATAGGAACGATCAGACAGGGGACGCCTACTCTGGTCTTTCCTATCCACCTTCCTCTGGGGAAGCTGATGGGTTGGAGGGACGCCTCCCCCTACACTACCCCAGCCCACTCGGATACTGTTCCGAGCTCGGATACTGTTCCGAGACCGCCCTCGGCTGGCAGGAACCCTTTGCCGCACGCATCATGGGGAACGTGGAGTCCAAAATTCCAAAAAACACCCCACTAGGTTGTTTACTTCTTGACTTTACCTGCTTGGGCTACTCCCAAAACCCTTAGGCGGAAAAAGCTTATCTTCCTCTCCCAGGTGGCCTGGCCCCAGTATCAGCTCGATAACAGGTCGCATTGGCCTCCCACCGGCACTTTCGATTTCAATGTGCTCCGCGACCTAGATAACTTCTGCCGCCGAACTGGCAAAGATAAGGAAGTGCCTTATGTTCAGGCTTTTTGGGACCTGCGTTCCCATCCTGACCTCTGCTCTTCTTGCTCTACTCACCAAGTTCTTTTAGCCCGAACTCCCCCACCACAGACTCCTACCTCCCCAACCAAGCCACCTCCCTATACTCTACAGGAAGAGATGCCTGACCACATGTCTTCCCCCTTTGTTCCCACTCCGGAAGTCCACTACCTCTCCCCCTCCCTACTCCTCACCGGAGGATCTGCCTGAACATCTATCCTCTCCTGCCAATCTCAGCAATCAGTCGCCATCAACAGCACGCTCTTCCTCTGCTCCCTCTGCACCTCCTACCTCAGAGGCCATGCTTCGCTCTCCCTCTACTCCCTCCGAGCCCCCTCCCTCAGAGGCCGCACTTCCTCTTGCCTCTCCGGTGGCAGCCCACACCCGCTCTCACCAGCCAGCTATCCTGGCCCCACTCCGAGAAGTAGCAGGCGCAGAAGGTTTAATCAGGGTCCATGTTCCTTTCTCACTCCAAGACCTGTCCCAAATTGAGAAACGTTTAGGATCCTTCTCAGCCGACCCGTCCACCTATATTAAGGAATTCCAATACCTCACTTAAGCATGAGAAGCCCTAGTCCGGTATACTCGACTAGATCCAGCCTCCCAAAAAGGGGCCACTGTATTAGCCTCCCATTTTATCTCCCAATCAGCACCCGACATAAGAAAGAAACTAAAGAAAGCAGAAGAGGGGCCAGAGACTCCCATCCAAGACCTGGTAAAAATGGCCTTTAAAGTATTCAATGCCAGGGAAGATGCAGCTGAGGCTGCCCGCCAAACTCGCATGAAGCAGAAGGCTGCCCTCCAGACCCAAGCCCTAGTGGCGGCTCTAAGGCCGGCAGGGAACCAGAAGCCCAAGGCCGAAACCCATGCCCCTCCAGGGGCATGTTTCAAATGTGGAAAGGAAGGACACTGGTCCCGAGCCTGTCCACAACCACGGCCACCAACTAAGCCTTGCCCTATCTGCCACCTCCCGGGACACTGGAAGTCAGACTGCCCCAGCTTCCCCAGGGTGCCGGTTCCTGAAAACAGACACACTGGCGTTACGCAGCTGGCAGTCACCCTCAGTAGGGAGGAGCCTGCTTGCCAGGAGCCGACCTCCAAGGGAACTCCATTCCCCAGGCTATTAGGGCTGCTAGATGACTAGCGGGGCCCTGGCTTACCGACTCCGGTTACCCTCGCCGAGCCTAGGGTCACAAGACATGGGGGCTACCTACTCCGCACTTCCTTCTTATTCTGGCCGTCTCACCCCTTCCCAGGTCTCGGTCATGGGAATCGACAGGACCCCGAGTATCCCCTACCAAACCCCACCACTCATGTGCTCATATAACTCCACTCCATTCACCCACTCTTTTTAGTAATCCCCACCTGCCCAGTTCCCCTTCTGGAGCGAGACATCCTTTCAAAGCTGAAGGCTGTCATAACCTTCCCCACCGCCAGCCTTTTTCTCCTAGCCCTCAATACTCTGCCTCGGAACTCCAGGCCCTCCAGTCTACCCCCGGGGTACGGTTCAAGGATGACTGGGCCTTCAATCATAACCTCCTCATCCTCCCCGAAAAGCAAAAGTACCAGATAATCCAAGACATCCATAATTCACTCCACATTGGGCCTAAAGCCTTATACCGGTTCCTCAACCCACTTTTTCACCCTCACCATCTCCTCAGTACCATACAGGAAGTCCAGTCCTCCTGTACTGTCTGCGCAAAAACTAATTCCCAGGGTTCCTGTCATCCTCGGCGCCAGCTTTATCAGCTACGCGGGTTCCTACCTGGCCAAGACTGGCAAATTGATTTCACCCATATGCCAAAGCATAAACAGTACCGGTATCTGCTAACCATTGTTGACACTTTTTCAGGCTGGATTGAAACTTACCCCACAGCCTCTGAGTCTTCCGGGACAGTAGCCACTCATCTCATTCAAGACATCATCCCACGCTTTGGACTCCCGGCTACCATACAGTCAGACAACGGCCCAGCCTTTATCTCCAAAGTCACTAATGCCGTTTCTACCTCTTTAGGAATTCAGTGGAAGCTACACGCCGCCTACCATCCTCAGTCCTCTGGTAAGGTGGAACGGGCCAATGGCCTAATAAAGGAGCATCTGACCAAGCTCATGCTTGAGCTCCGCCAATCCTGGGTAACCTTGCTTCCTATCGCCCTCACCAGGTTGAGAGCAAGCCCCCAGGGCCCATCACAGCTTAGCCCGTTTGAGCTGCTGTACGGTCGCCCCTTCCTACTTTCAACTCCCCCACCACCAGAGACCACTCCTCTAGACAGCTACCTCCCCTACTTTACTCTCCTTCGCAGCCTTCTCCGAGAACATGCCAATGCTTCTCTTCCCCAACCCACCCAGCCATCTGAAAATACACAGAAAGTCTCCCCCGGGGACTCAGTTCTTATCAGGTCCCTCTCCCCAAAGCCCCTCGCTCCCAAGTGGGAAGGACCATACACAGTCCTCCTTACCACTCCATCAGCTATAAGAGTTGCTGAAATCCCATCTTGGGTCCACCTGTCTCGGGTAAAAAAGGCCCCCATGGACCCTCCTTATGCTGGAAGGCTGTTCCTACTGGCCCTTTATCTGTCAAACTTACCAGGGCCTAGCAGCCACACCCCCTACAGATGGAGATTCTTCCTAACTGAAAACTATACCAAAACCACCTTCATCTGTAATACCCCTCCATACAGCCACAACCATCTTCTTGCAACTTCCGACTGCCCCGCAGCCGGATGCCAAAGGGCCATATATCTGAACTTCACCAAATTCCATAACATCCATACTGATATACCTCTCATGTGCTTCAACCATGACCAACCATCAGGAGCATGCAATAATACTCCTTGGCGCTCCTGCATGGGATGTACTTGGATGAACTGTCGACTACATATAGCCGTCAAGTCCACAGTACCTGCCCAATCTCAGCTCAAAATCATCCCAGACATAGATGAAGAAGGAAACACCATTATCGGTTCTACACGGTATTCCATTCTCATACCTGACCCCTGGGACAACCGGTGGAAAAGCCCCCAGAAAGCTGCCGTGTATGACCACAAAGATACCAAATATCCCTCTTCCCACCTGTATATCTGGCGGGCATACGTACGTACAGTCCACCAAGTCCACTCTGATATTAGCCTACAAGAAAAATCTCTGAATGACCAATTGCAACCACATTCGTCTCCATTTTCCTGGTTAACTTTTCTCCAAGAAGGAATCAAGTTAGCTAACCTCTCAGGACTAACTGACCTAACTTCATGCCTCATGTGTGCCTTCTTAGGACAGACTCCCTTCGTTGCAGTCCCTTACCCCATCCTTCTCAACCTTTCAGCCTCAACTTCTTCCTTCTCCCCCGTCAGGGAAGTCGATCTCTACACTCCACCTGATTTTGAACAGCTACCTGTGTGCTATTCCCTAGGCCGAAACTTCCCTAGCTGTAACAGAACTATACTGGTAACCACTAATATAACAGCCCCACGAGGAACGTTTTTTTGGTGTAACAGGACCTTAACAAAAACTCTCTACGTTGGCCTTTCCTCATCTCTTTTATGCCTCCCAGTAACCCTAGTCCCTTGACTCACTATATATTCTTCAGCCGAATTCCAGATGCTGTAAGCTCCCCATCGCCGCACCCGATGAGCTGCCTTCCTACCCATTGCCGTTGGAGTCTCCCTTGCTGGTTCAGCACTTGCAGCAGGATTAGGAGGAGGGGCACTAGTCCACTCTCACCTGGCCATAGCCCAACTGACCTCACAACTCTAAGCAGCTATTGATGACTCTACTGAGTCTTTAGCATCACTCCAATGACAGATCACCTCAGTTGCCCAAGTTGCCTTGCAGAACCGAAGAGCCCTAGACCTGCTCACTGCTGAACGAGGAGGGACCTGTATCTTCCTACAAGAAGAGTGCTGTTACTACATCAATGAATCCGGCCTAGTAGAAACCCGAATCGAGAGCCTCCAGAAACTCAAAACTAACCTGCAGAGTCAGAAGTTCTCGGCTGAAGCCACAGCATGGTGGTCTTCCTCTATGTATACCCTCTTGTCCCCATTGCTTGGGCCCCTAGTGGCCGTTTGCCTAATCTTACTTATTGCTCCTTGCTTTCTACAGTTCATACAGCGGCGCTTTCAAGAACTGACTCGAGTCACCATCCACCAGATGCTGCTCCAACCCCACCCTGAATGAGTGCAAGAAACAGACCTCTCCCTGAACATCCAGGCTCCTTAAGAAAAGAGACCTCTTCAGAACCCCCCATCGACCCTTGTCAGCAGGAAGTAGCCAGATCGATTCCGCCGCCCTTTTTCCTTTTTAAGGAGTCGGGAATGTTCGGTAGAAAGTCCCGCCATCTTTCCCCCAGGTTTCTTGCCCCCACCCCCCCCAGGCTTCCTGCTGCCCTGAGAAAAGCCCGCCAAGCCTGCTCTGTTCTGCCCAGCAACAACAAGCAGCCAATCATCGCAGCAGGAAAGCCCGCCAAGCCTCGGCCTATCCTGAACCGACACGTAACCCTCTGAGCCACCTCAGCAGTCTGCCCAGAGACTGACAGCCTATCCTAAGCTCCTACGACACTCCGCCAGCCCTGTGTCCACGCCCCGTCCACCCCCCTATAAAACTCTCCTACCCCAGCTGTGCAGTCGCAGCCAGCCCCATTCTCCTTCCTTTCCTGGCCTGCCCGCTGGTCCCAATAAACCTGAACTCAGCTTCCAACTCTCGAGCTGTTATTTGGGGTCAGGTACCGGGCAGGGGTCTACAAGGGGGTCGCACAGAAATAATACCAATTCCACTCAAATTCTTCCAGAAAAGTCAAGAGAAAGGAGCATTTTCCAACTGATTTCATGAAATTTGTATTATCCTGATAGGAAAACCATACATACACCTAGATGCCTCATGGGCACATGCATATAATACTCATCAACAAAATATGGCAAATTGTATTTTTAAAAGAACAAAATGGAATTCATCCAAGGAATGCTACAGGCTTCTGGATTCTAAAATAATTAGTGTAATTCAGCACATAAATAGACTGAAGAAGAAAAAATATAAATGATCTTCTCAAAAGAAACAGAGAAAGCATTGATGAAATTCAGGATAACCTTGTGATAAGGCCTTTCAGTACACTGGGAATAGGAGGAAAGCTGGCAGCTAACATCCTACTTAATTGTGAAAGACTCAATGCTTTTCCTTTGATTGGAGCCAAGACAACTCCATCTGTTCTCCCTACACCTATTCAGCATTTTCCTAGAAGTTCTAGCCAGTGCAATAAGGTAAGAAAAAAGAAATAAAAGGCATACACATCAGAAACAGAGAAATAAAATGGACCTCATTTGCAGATGACATGATAGTCTATGTAAAAAAGCCTAAGGAATCTACAAAGAAATGTTCAGAATTAATAGGTGAGGTCAGCAAGGTTGCATGATACAAAATCAACACACACAAATCAAGCATATGTCTACACAGGATGGGGAGAGTGGACTATGAGTACGTTTGTGGGGAGATTCACAGTCCCTGGCTGATGCACCTGCATTTGTACCATCATGCACTCCACATGTACTCCAAACCTCATCCCTCAAACACAACCACCAGCTTCCTTTCCAACCCATTCTCACTGCCACCAATACCAGCACTAGATTATTTTTTCATAGCAAAGTCAGAAAACTGCCGTCTTCAGACCAAATCAAGCCCACAACCTGGTATTTATGGTCCCTTAGCTAAAATGGCTTTCATGTTTTTAAAGTTCTGTAAAAAAGAAAAAGAACAATGAGACATCACCTCACATCTGTTAGGATATCTGCCATGAAAATAGGCAATAGGGAGCGTTGGCAAGAGTGTGGAGAAAAGGGAACCCTTGTGCACTGCTGGTGGGAATGTAAATCAGTACAGCCATTGTAGAAAGAAACTTAGAGCTTCCTAAAAGGTTAAAAATAGAACTACCATGTGATCCATCAGTCTCACTTATAGATATGTACCCAAAGGAAATGAAATCAGTATCACAAAGGGACACCTGCACCACTGTGTTCATTGCATCACATTTGCAACAGCCAAGATAGGGAAACCACCTGAGTATTCACCAGCAGATGAATGGATTTTTTAAATGCAGCTTATCTGCACAATGGAATACTATTCAGCCTTTTAAAAGGGACAATCTGTCTTTTGTGACATTGCAGATGAACCTGGAGGACATTATGTGAAGTGAAGTAAGCTAGACACTAAAAGACAAACATGGTATCATCTCACTTATATGTGGAATCTTTAAAAAGTTGCACTCATAGAAACAGAGAACAGAAGGGTGGTTACCAGAAGCTAGGGGGCAGGGAGATGGGAAGATCTTGTCTAAGGATGCAAACTTTCAGTTAAGATGAACAAATTCTAGGGATTTCACTCACCAGCATGAGTGGTAATGATAGATATGTAATACAAATGAAAGAAGAAAGAAAAGGAAAGAGACAGAGAAAGAAAAGAGAGGGAGGGAGGAAGGAAAGAGAGGGAAGAAGGAAGGAAAAGAGACAGAAAGAAAGGAGGGAGAGAGAGACAGAGAAAGAAAGAAAGGGAGAAAGGAAATGGGCCTGCCATTCACATCTGCTCTACAGAATCTCTTTCCTGCAGTCTCCAGTATAATCCTCAGCTTGGGGAAGGTTCTGAGTTTGGGGAGCAGGTCACAGCTGGACAGAAAACACCATCAGTGGCGGAAAGCAGCAGCCCAGAACCCCCCAAGACAAGGCTCCTGCTGAGAGGGGCGGTGGCCTCAGGGCAAGGCCAGAGCCAGGGTGCACCAGGCAGCCTCTCACCTGCTGCCACCAGGGAGCAGATGCTTGTCCAGAAGAAATGCAAACCACCACTGTTGAGTGGAAAAGGAAGCTCCAGGGCTGTGACATGTCATCCTGGAGGGCGGTAACCAGTGAAGTCTCTAACTCCACACAATTCTGCCAATTGGCCTGTCGGGGGACGATGCAAACCCCATCTCTCTAAATCTTTGAACTGGCCCTACCACCCCGCTGGTTCCTTCGTTAACGAGCTGGATAAATCCTAGACACACATTCCTCCCATATTTGTATGAGACTCACAACTGCACTAGGTACAGATATGGAACTGGGGAGATTTGGGAAGACCCAAGACTGATAAGGTGAGGAGACTACCTGTTCAGCTTGTCCTCTCAGTCCCAGGAGTCCTGGCTTGGAAGACACGTACCTGGTGTGGTCACCATAAGTCAGAGGCATGGCTCAGAATGGGGTCCGTGGACCCGCGGCATCCACAGCTCCAAATGGTTTATTAGAATTGCAAATTCCTGGATCCCATCTGCAGCCTCTGCCTCAGAATCCAGGTGTGAGGCCCCGAAAGTGTTCAGCAAGCCCGACTTATAATAAACCTCAAGCCCACTAGTTCCTCCAGCTTTAATCTTTCTCCAAGTTGTTTTGGGTATAAGACCGTTGCATTTTAAGATGAACCTCAGAACAAACAACATTTCTACAAAAATGCTTGCTGAGATTTTGATTGGGATTGTGTCAAATCTATAGAATTTTTTAATTCTCTTAAAACCATCTTAAAAAGAGTGAGTCTTTCAAAAAAAAAGAATAGCTGGACATGGTGGTGGGTTCCTATAGTCCCAGCTACTTGGGAGGCTAAAGTGGGAGAATCTCTTGTCCCCAGGAGTTCAAGGTTGCAGTGAGACGTGATCACACCACTGTACTCCAGCCTGGGAAACACAGCTGTCTAGAAAAAAAAAAAAAAGAAGTGCACCTTCCAAGCAATTAACACAATACATCTCCCAGTTTACTTACATTTTCTTTGATTTCTTTCAGTGGTATTTTCTAGTTTTTATCCATAAGTATGTCATATTTTCAATGCTAATGTGAATGGTACTTCTGAGGATAAACCTCAATTGATCAGATCTTGTTGTTTCTGTATGTTCTTGTATTTGATTTGCTAAAATTTTGTTAAAAATATTGCATCTCTGCTCTTAAAGAACATTGGTCTGTAGTCTTATTTTCTTGTAATACCGTTAGCTGGTTTTAATATCAGAGTAATGACAACCTCCCAAAATGAGTTGGGAAGTACTCATTCCTCTTCAACTTCCTAGAAGAGTTTGTTAGAGTTGGTATTTTTCTCACTTCAATGGTAGAGAGAATTTCCTAGTGAAGCCATCTGGGCCTGGAGTTTCTGTGGGAAGATGTTGAAGCACAAATTCAGTTTTGATAATAGATACAGTATTATTTAAGCTATCTATTTTTTTTTTGACCTCTGAACTTTTTATTGGCCCCCTGCTCCCCAAAGGGTTGCCTGCTTCTGCTGGCCTAATGTCTCAGAACTTTGGTGTCACTGGTCTCAGACACCACTTTGCCACCCACTATCCGGTGGGTGGTCGTCTTCTGGATGGTTTGCATGGAGTTGCTGCTGTCCAGGGCATCACCAAGACTGAAGTTCTCGCCATCTTCCAATGGCAGTGGTAGGTGGCGATCTCAGCCTCCAGCTTGACCTTAATGTTCAGCAGGGCCTCGTACTCCTGGGCCTGGTGCTGTCCCTCTGCCTGGGTCTGTGCCAGCTCTGACTCCAGGTGCAGCAGGATCCCACTGAGGTGCTCCATCTGCAGGCATAGTGGGCCTCCACCTCCCTCAGGCTATTCTCCAAGCTGATCTTCCTATTTCTCATGGAGTCCAGGTCAACCTCCAAGGACTGGACTGTATGTCTCAGCTCTGTGAGTGTCACCTCAGCAGCTCCAACCTTGGCTGACTGCGTGGTGACCACTGTGGGGCTCTCCTCAATATGCTGGGACCAGTACTTGTCCAGCTTCTCTCGGTTCTTCTGGCCCAGCTCGTCATATTGGGCCCAGATGTCTGCCATGACCTTGAAGAGGTCCTGAAACTTGGGGGCATCTATTTCCACGCTCAACCCAGAGCTGGCAATCTAGGCTTGCAGGCCTTTTACTTCCTCTTCTTGGTTCTTCTTCATTAGAGCAGCCCCTCCTTGAGAGCCTTAATCTGTCTCCAGCGGCAGCCGAGTGACGCTGGTGTCATCAGTGACCTTGTGGAGCCGACAGATGTCACTCTCCATGGACTGGCACACGGCCAGCTCTGTCTCCTACCTGACTCTAAAGTCATCAGCAGCAAGATGGGCATTGCTCATCTGCAGAATAATGCAGGCATTGTCCACAGTATTTGCAAAGATCTGAGCCCTCAGGTCCTCAATGGTCTTGAAGTAATGGTTCCAGTCTCTGACCTGGGGTCCCTTCATCTCCAGGTGGTCCCGGATTTTGCTCTCCAGCTTGCAGTTGTCAGTCTCCAGGCTCCTCACTCTGTCCAGGTAGGAGGCCAGGTGGTTGTTCAGGCTTTGCATGGTCTCCTTCTCATTCTGGATGCCTCCCATTCCTGCCAGACCCCCCAGCCATTCCTGCAGGCAGAACTCTGGACCCCATGCCACCCCAGAAGCTGGTGGAGCAGGACATGGAGATCCAGGAACCAGAGCCCCAGCACCTGCATAGATGCTGGCCGCACTGCTGACTGGCCAGGCGCCATGGCTGGGCACCTGGATGGAGCCCAGGGACTGGTAGTTGGTGGAGAAGGTGGAGTGAGTGGTGAAGCTCATGCTGCCCAGGTCGGGGAGAGTGAGAGGATAAGCCTCAGGCTTTGCTGACGATGACCCATCATATCCCTTTACTGTCCTTTTAAGACTGTGGAGTCTGTAGTAGTGTCGCTTCTCTT